GCTGAGGTCACCTAGGACTCAACCCAGCTTCATGAGGGTGCCCAGACTTCTAATTAATCTCTGTCCGACCAGTCAAGTTCTCCTTTAGAGGAAGCTGATCATGACAATAATATTCTTATGAATGATTCTGAATTCCGAGTCTTGCTCCTCCAAGGTAGAAGGCACTTTATGCATAAATGCCCGGGTGATTTCATGGACCAGTGTGGTGCAATCTGATTCATGTTGGAATGGATGCCCCCATCCCCACCAAGGAGATGGGTATAGAAGTGGGCAAAACTGGATGGAGCCCCAGTGTTGTCAGTTTTCTCTTGTTCTCTTTCTTTTCCTCTCCCTCCCAACATATCTGTTGACCATCTTCTGGGGGGGCCCTTGTCCGTCTCCTGTTAGCAATGTGTTGCACAGGTGTGAGCAGGCCAGGTGCCTTCCAGAACTGCAGCCAAGGTGAGCGTCCCTGTTGTGCAAGAGGGGCATTGCCGTTTCTCTCCTGTTGCCTTTCCAGGTGCAAACGCTGAGATCACAGGGTGGCCACAGTGTGTCTGTCGCAGGGCCACTTGTGAACACTGTGAAACTCTCGGGTGCTTTGAACATCAGTGACATTGCTTGTGCCTTGGGATCAGCAGAAGCCCGGAAATGGCCCCTGATTCCATTACAGGATCATTCAGAGATACTAATAAGCACCAAAACTACGGGGTCCCCTCTTGTTTCTTTGGTTCAAAAAATACCTGAGGGGTAATCAAGCATTTGACCATCTCTAGTACCCTGGAAGAGAAGAAGGGTGATTATTACCGTGCAGAAACTTTAGCCTAATTGGCAAGTAAGACATGAACCTCTGCCTTCACACACACACACACACACACACACACACGCACACACACACACACACACACACCTGTTGTCTTGACTGAGGATTTTGCTTCCTTTTGTTCCATTGGTGAGGCTGTATTCTGGGCTTCCACTGTCAGATCTCGAATGATGTGATGCTCAGCCTGGAGCGGATTAAACTCTCCCCAAAGCTACAAACAAGGGAACAGCAAAGGATGAGTAGGATGAGTGTGTCAAGATCTCTCTTTCCCACCTCCTCCTTCTCATTCTTGGCCGCCCCTCCCTGTCTCAGCCAGGACATCACAGCAAACTCTGTGCAGGTTCTGTGTGCTGGGCTGGTTCTGGTCCCAGCTGACAGGACCCATGGCTACCATGTTTCCTGGAACGAGCAAAAGCCTGGGAATTCCCTAAATCCCAAATGCTCCAGTGAGAACCCAGGCTAGTCTCCTGTTGCTTTTTGGTAGAGCTTAACAGTTCAATGGAGGGTGCAACAGATATAATTGACTGTTAGTTCACTAGCAACAGTATATTAAAGCAAGCCCCTGGGATCCTACGCTCTTCCTGTCAGTCAGAAAGCTCTAACAACTTTACACGAAGCCTACTCTCACCTCTGTGGTTTTGTTCCTATACAACTGCTGGTCAGCTTTGTGCTATTGATAAGAATGGGTGTGAAAGAGTCTAGAGACTTTCATCTTGGAAGGTTGTGTAGATGCCTTCTTGAACACCGTCAAGGCAAGGAAAAACTCTAGAGGATGGTGTTTGCATCAAAGAGCCACTAGAGTGTGGTAGTGAACCATGAGAAATAGCAACTGATAACCTCCATGTAGTGCCAGGAGGAAGAGGAGAAGACCGCATGGTTATTAGAAGGGGTGAGTTTGGAAGTTTGGATGAAAGGCTTGTATGCTTTTCTTGTCTTGGTGGATGGATGGGTGGATGGGTGGGTGGATGGATGGATGGATACTGGCCAGAATCCTGTTGCTTTCGAGATGTCATCAGTTGCAGCCATAGTGTGGCCACTTCAGGAGAATTAAAACTATCCTGTCAACCCTTCCAGGTTCCAGAGATCTCTAGAGATCTTGATCATCGTAAGAAGCCTTCAGAAGCTACAATATAGTGTAGCAAAATAAAGGTAGAACATTGCTATAGCTGGTCCTAGTGTGAGACCTGCCTGTTTTCCAGCTACTGTTGCTCATTTACTTCAGTAGTCTATTCAAATGATCTGTTGATTTTTAGGAAAAAGAAATATATAAGATGTGTTCTGCAAACTACACTGAGAAATCATCAAGCAGAGAGAGAGAGAGAGAGAAACCAAACCTTTAGCACAGGGCTTTAGAATTTGTGTTTCTTGTCCAAGAGCTATGAGCCCACATTGATCATCCTCCCAACTTTACTGAATTCCGAAG